ACATGGACTCATGGGTCCAGTGCTCTTTGCACTTCCATGACCCAGAGGTCTGCTTCCTGCCCATAAGCCAGGCCCTCCGGCAGGATGCCCATTCCTCAGAAGGGCCCTTTTCCCACCATCATCACTCCGCATTCCCATCCTCAGTACCTACCGTGTACCAGAACATTTCCAGATTGTGGTGCTGGCTGCGAGAGGGCAGAGAGCAGGTGAACACAGGTCAGATTACCCCAGAGGGCGCAGGTCATGGGGATGCGTTTATGGGACTCCTTTGTTCCTGGCACTTGGCTGGACACTGTAAAAATGCCTGTGTTAGCCTGGGCAACCTAGCGACACCTGGTCTCGGGGGGAAAAAAAAAAAAGCCAGGCGTGGTGGCGTGTGCCCGTGGTCCCAGGTTCTGAGGTGGCCGAGACGTGATCGCGCCACCACACTCCAACCTGGGCGACAGGGACAAACCCTGTCTCAGAATAAAAAAAAAGAAAGGCTGTTACCCGGGAGGAGGGCCCCTCGCCCGACCTCTACCCTCATGAAGAGAGGCTCAGAGGGCTGAAGCGCCTACTTGGCCAAAAGGCGTGGGAGAGGGGCAAAGCAGGGCCGGGAAGCAGCTTCCCCTCCGTGGCTGGGCCCCTGTTTGCCCAGTGCCCAGTCCTTAGCCTGAAGGTGGTGGGCTTCAGCCAGAAGCCCCAGGCGAAAGCGGTGCCCGCGTGTGGGCCAGAGTGCGGGTGTGCAGGTCTCTGGGCGGCCCAAAGAGGGTGCCCCTGCCCGGGAACCCAGCAGCTGGGGCGGGAGGGTGGGGACGGCGGCCGGCGCGCGGGGCAGGCTCCGCCCCCAGGGACGCGGGTTTAAAAGAAGCGAAGGCGGGCCCGGGAGCCGAGCTGCAGTGGAGCGCGCCGGAGCCGAGCCGCTGCCCGGGCACAGCCATGGCCCAGCGGGCGGAGGGCACTCGGCTGCTCGGCGGCCTCCTGCTCTTCGGCCTGCTCACTGCGGGCGTCGCTCCGCTCAGCTGGGATCTCCCGGAGCCCCGCAACAGAGCCGGCAAGATCCGAGTGCACCCGCGGGGCAACCTATGGGCCACCGGTAAGTCTTCGGGGAACCGGGCAAGCAAGTGTCCCCCACCCTGCTCAGACCCCATTTGCTTCTCAACCCTCTGGCCGTTCCTCAGCCACGGATACTTGTGTCGGAGCAGGTGGGGAACCTTGGGGTTCATCTAATTTAATAGATGCGAACTTGAGACCCCGACAGGTCAGTGACTTGGCTAAGGTCGCGCAGCCAGTTTAAGGCAGGGCTGGGCTAGCTAGATCCTAAATGCCATTGCCAGCCGGTGCCCCTTACCTTAGGCGAGACTTCACCGACTCTTCTAACCGCCCGTGTGCTTTTGCTGCACCTCCACTTTCCAGGCCCCTCTACACGCTCCACTTCCAACTCTGCCCTTTCTCATCCCTTGTCCAAGCAGGACACACAGCTAGCAGAGTTTCTCCCTGGCCCTGGACCATACCACCCTCCTTCCAGCTGTGCCATCCTCTCTACTTGTTCAGGAAAAGCTGAGGGAGCAGGATTTGCCACCGCCCAGATACCTCTGTGGCTCCTTGGTGAGGTGGAACCACCAGGAGGAAGAAGGTTAAGTGTCTTCCTGACACAAGAACGGAACCGTGGGAGAGACGAGGAACTTTCCCACTTGGGTAGGGTCCTCGCTCCTTGATTTCCTTGTGCCTGGGCACCTCCTTCCTAGGTCACTTCATGGGCAAGAAGAGTCTGGAGCCTCCCAGCCCATTCCCATTGGGGACAGCTTCCCACACCTCCCTGAGGGACCAGAGACTGCAGCTGAGTCATGATCTGCTCAGGATCCTCCTGCTAAAGAAGGCTCTAGGCGTGAAGCTCAGCCACCCTGCACCCCACATCCAGGTGAGCCAGGTCCCCACTCCAACGCCAGGATGGCCCAGCTGGGGCCATCCCTGGATCCTGCATGGGAGGAATTACCACCCAGCACTGTATTAGGGTGTGACTGTCTGATCAGGACATTACGGGTGTGGACCCCAGAAAGCCAGGGTTCCAGGCTTTTCCCTGTTGAGGCAGAGCTCAAAGGAGGAACAGTCCAAAGAAAGGAAGCTGACCTTCCTGGCAGACCCCATGGAGCAAGAAGTAGGGAAAGAAGTTCCCCTGACTCATCACCCAGTGTAAAGAAAAAGACTGGGCTCATCGGCCTCTTACAACAGGGCCTTTCTCTCCCAGTGCACACAGCCTTGTCCCGCCTGTGCTGCATTAGTCAAGTCCACCTTTGCTGTGCCCTGTGTGTGTTTGTGGCCAGACTGGGACCCTGAGGCCCAGAGAGGGAAAGAGAAGTCAGCAGCCAAGACAGAGTGTGGACCCTGTTCACCTGGACCAGTGCTCTCCCCATTCTCTCATCGGCCTCAGTTCTCCCCATTCTCTCATCGGCCCCAGTATCTGGTGGCAGAGTTGAGCAACTTCAGTACGTCTGACATCCTGACATTCTAGGCTGGATTATTCCTTGTTGTGAGGGCTGACCTGCACATTATGGGATGTTTAGTGGCATCCCTGGTCTCTACCCACTAGATGCCAGTAGCACTTCCCCCCTTCAAGTTTTGACAACTGAAAAGCCCTCCAGACATCACCAGATGTCTGCTGGGGGAGAAGGCCCCAAATCATTCTTGGTTGTCAGTCACTGACCTAGGGGATTCAAGGCCCCAAAGCTGGAGCCAGGCCAGCCTTCGGGTCTAGCCCAGTTGGGCGGCAGCACCTCCATTCCCTGCTCCTGGTGCTGTCCTTACTGCACAGCACCCTCCCTGGTCCTGCTGCTGTGCGCAGAAGGCAATGTAATGTGGTAGAATGTGGGCTCTGACTACAACATGCTGGGCTCAGAACCTAGCTACTTAGTAGCTGTGTGACCTTAGAAATGTCCCTTAACCTCTCTAAAGCCTCATATTCCTCATCCATAAAATGAAGATGATACTGAGAAGCCGAGGCAGGAGGAGGATTACCTGAGGTCAGGAGTTCAGGACCAGCCTGGCCAACATGGTGAAACCCCATCTCTACTAAAAAATATGAAAATTAGCCAGCCATGGTGTCAGGCGCCTGTCAACCCAGCTACTTGGGAGGCTGAGACGGGAGTATTGCTTGAACGCAGGAGGAGGAGGTTGTAGCCAGCCGAGATTGCACCATTGCACTCCAATCTAGGTGACAAGAACAAAACTGTCTCAAAAAAAAAAAAAAAAAAAAAAAGAAGATAATAATAAGGCCCATCTCCCATTAAATGAGACAGTGTATGTCAAATGCTCAGCATGGTGCCTGGCTCATAGACAGTCCTTAGTAAATGGGAGCTCATACGAGTCTGTGAGCTCCCTGGCAGCACCTGTTGCCCCTTCATATCCCCCCGCTGTGCCTAGCATATAGTGTGTGCATTTTGAAGGGAGGGGCATTCCCTAGAAAAGGTCCAACCCCAGCCTCAGCCAACATCCCTGACTTCCTGATGCACAGCACCAGCAGCCCCTGAGGACCTCAGATGTAAGGCCTAGGAGCTTGGGCTGGCTGAGTCTGAAGGGAGACAATGTCACATCTAGTGCGTTAGTTTTGAAGCTCTGGCACATGCAGAACAATTGAGAATCTCAGAAGCAGCAGTGCATAAGTCTCGGGCTTCAGAGTGAGGTCTGGGGTTGGGGACTGAGGACACTGACTAGCCCCTGCCAGGCACTGTACTTGGATTTACTTCCATGAGTTCCTTTGACTGTCATGACCACTCTGGGTGGTTGGGGCTATGTTCCGAGAAAACTGCTGCCCCTGACCCCTCCAAGGCAATTCAGGGTGCTCTGGGCCCTGCCTCAGCTGACAGCCTCCCAGTGCCCACCTCTGCAGACATCTGGCACTTAGGAATGGCAGGATGCCCTGTCATTATCAGGAGCCCCTCCCTGGCTCAATTCTTCTGTATATTTCTCTTCAGTACAGGAGGTTGCTGGTACAAATACCGCAGAAATGACACCAATAATGGGGCAGACACAACAGCATGGCTTAGATTGTGCCCACCCAGGGAAGGTGCTGAATGGGACCCTGGTGATGGCCCCATCTGGATATAAATCCCGAGCTCAAATCTCTGTTACTCCGTTACTGTGATTTCTGGTTGGGTCACCAGAAATATCGCTGATGCAGACACAAATTATGTTCCTGCTGTATTTCCTGCATCCCTGTTGAATTTGTGAATAAAACTTTGCTCTTTACATAAAATGCCTGGTCCTCTCCTTCCACCCATCTTTTAGGGGGTGGGAGGGAAAGGGGGCTGGACAGGGCAATGTGTTCAGTGAGATAAGGCTGGCTCCAAAAAGTCCAGAATACTCCATGCCATGTGGCCCCAGCCTGGAACTGACTCTAGACTCCTACTCATTCACTTATTCAGCAAGCAAATAATGCCTGCGGTATGCCAGGCCCTGTGCCAGGTGCGGGGTTCTACTCTCACCTCTGCCACCTACTGGCGAAGGCAAGTGTCTCTAGTTTCCTCGCCAGTAAAAGGGGCTGCAGAAACTCCACCGCGGGGCTTGGGCGGGGAGCGCCGAGTTGGGATTTAGACCCCGCCGTCCGCTTACTCTCTTCTCTGGCCGTCAATAGGATTGCCGGCGTTAGCAAATAAAAATATAGGACGCCCAGTTAAATTCGAATTTCAGATAAACAATTTTATCTAATAAAATGGACCAAATATTGCAAGAACATACTCGTACGAAAAAAATTATTCACTGTTTACTGAGATTCGAATTTAACCGGGCGGTTCTGTGTTATCTCTGGCTTGGAGCACTAACTGCCCCTCTCTTGGGCTGCAAAAAGCAGGTCCTAAAACGGGCGATCTTTTGGTCCTCAAGTCCTCTTCGGAGCTGACGCCGGGGAAGTCCCGATTTCAGGTCACTTTACCCGGAGCTTCCGCGCAGAAAACCCGAAGCTCAGCCGGGCGGGGGCGCAGAGCGGCCTCCTGACCCCGCCCCTAACGGGAGGCCCTGCCCACACCTCGCGAGAGCCGCACAGCACCGGAAGACTCAAAGGCGGAAGTGGGACGCCGGAAGCGGCTGTTGCCATGGATCCTGAGGATGACTGGCTGGTGGAATCCTTGCGCTTGTAAGTTTGTGCGGCTGTGAGACGGAGGCTGGGTCCGGAGCTGGCCCGGCGGGCGGGCGGGTGCGGGCGTAGACACGTTGGGGATCCTGGTGCAGGGTGGACCAGCTGTGGCCGCGGGGCTCGCCGCCGCGAAGGACTCCGCCTAGGCTTAGGCCCCCATCTAGGAAATGGCTCCTCCCTGCGTGCGCCAGTTGTGAGACCAGCGCTTATGGAGGAGAAGTGCCCCGTTATTTTGCGCCAGCCCGAGTTCAGCTCTGAACACAGATATCACATTGATTCCTCACGTCAACCTTGGGAAATCTGGGTACTCTGGGAGGTCCACACATGAGGACCGAGGCTCAGGGACCTCGGGGGACTGGCCTGGTCCCAGAAACAGGGAATAAAATGCGAAGCAAACTTGGTCCCACGTCTGCCTGACTCCAGAGCTTGGGGTCACTGAAGCATGCAGCTGCATGGCTCATCTTGGAGTTCTTTGAGCTGCGAAGTGCTGTGCATCGTGTGATTTTATGTCCTTTCCTGCAGATACCAGGATTTCTATGCATTCGACCTCTCAGGAGCCACTCGAGTCCTTGAATGGATTGATGACAAAGGTAGTATACCTTCCTGGCCCTAAAGGGGAGGGAATCCCACTCCTGAGCTGGGTTTGAGGGGCGAAGCCTAGAGAGACCCAACCCAGTCTTCTGGGCACCTGAGTTACTTGGAGCAATTTGATGCTCCATCAGCACTAATATTCCTCTTATTAAGATCTTTGGCCAGGCGTTGTGGTTCATGCCTGTAAGCCCAGAACTTTGGGAGGTCAAGGCGGGCGTATCACCTGAGGTCAGGAGTTCCAGACCAGTCTGGCTGACACGGTGAAACCTCATCTCTACTGAAAATACAAAAATTAGACGGGTGAGGTGGAGCACACCTGTGCACCACCAGCTACTGGGGAGGCTGAGGCAGGAAAATCACTTGAACCCAGGAGGTGGAAGTTGCAGTGAGCCCAGATCGCGCCACTGAATTCCAGCGTGGGCAGCAGAGTGAAACTCTGTCTGGAAAAAAAAAAAATCTTCAGGTTGGGCACCTTAGGAGGCTGAGGCAGGTGGGCAGATTGCTTGACCCCAGGAGTTTGAGACCAGCCTGAGCAAGGAAACCCTGCCTCTACAAAAAATAGCAAAAATTAGCATGGTGGCCCATGCCTATAATCCTAGTTACTCAGAGGCTGTGGTGGGAGGATCATTTGGGCCTGGGAGGTTGAGGCTGCAGTAAGCTGTGATCGGGTGATGGGACCACTGCACTACAGCCTGGCTGACACAGTGAGACCTCCTCTCAAAAAAACATAACCAGATACTCAGTTCCCTCATACAAGGCTGCACACTGAAGGAATTTATCCTTGCTTTGGGGGATTGGGTGGGAGTTTATAGACCTATCCGTGGTCTGAAATCTTTTTTTTTTTTTTTTTTTTTTTTTTTTTTTGAGATGGAGTCTCGCTCTGTCACCTAGGCTGGAGTGTAATGGCGTGATCTCAGCTCACTGCAACCTGCGCCTCCTGGGCCCAAGGCTGGAGTGCAGTGGTGCCATCTCAGCTCAGTGCAACCTCCATCTCCTGGGTTCAAGCAATTCTCCTGCCTCAGCCTCCCAAGTAGCTGGAACTACAGGCGGGTGCCACCACGCCCAGCTAATTTTTGTATTTTTAGTAGAGATGGGGTTTCACCACGTCGACAGGATGGTCTCAATCTTCTGACCTCTTGATTCACCTACCTCGGCCTCCCAAAGTGCTGGGATTACGGGCGTGAGCCACCGCGCACAGCCTGCAATCTAACAGTTTGTCACAGCTACCTCTGCTTCTTTTTCCAGGAGTCTTTGTTGCGGGCTATGAAAGCCTGAAAAAGAATGAAATTCTTCATCTGAAATTACCTCTCAGACTTTCTGTAAAGGAAAACCAGGTAACTTGAAATATAAATGCTGAATATATATGCTTACTTTTATTTGTTAAACATTTGTGGAGCTCCTGTTACCTACCAGGTATTATCCTGGATACTGGAAAGAGAAAGAAAGAGAGCGCTAGCTAGGCCTACCCTTATAGTCTAATAGAGAGAGGCAAATACAGAGATAAATTCTGTAGAATGTCCCGTGGTTTACAGAGAGCTACTGGAGGAGGAGGTCATTACACTTCATCAGAAATAGATTGAGGGAGTGATAAAGGCTATAGAGGGCAGTTGAACTGCTTAGAATGGTTAAAGTCACCTAGTGAATGTGTAGTATATAAGGAATGAGAGGAGAATATAGTGAGGATGGAACCTCAGGGAACACATTTAAGGGATGAGTACAGGAAGATGAACGCCCAAAGAATACTAAGAACAGCCTCTGAGGTAGGAGGAATCTCAGAAAAGGTCAGTGTTTCCGAAGCCAAGAGAAGAGAACATCTCAAGAAGAAGAGTTAGTAGCTGTCTAGAGTTGGAATAGTCATTCAGATGAGGAACTGAAAAGTTCATTCATAAGACTGGCAGTTGGGAAGCTCTTGGTGACCTCTGCTACAGGATTTTGCTGGTGGTGGTCAGGCCCAAAGACTAAAAATGAAGAGGAAGCCGAGTCAGGGAATGTGGGGCGGGAAGAAGCTAAAGCAGTAACTAGTCGGAAACACAGATCTGAGGGAAGGTTTCCTAAACACAGAGGCTTGAACAGAGTTACAGCTGTGGGAAAGTAACCCTTGAAAGGGGAGAGGGTGAAACTGCAGGAGTGAGGGAATATCACAGGGAACACGTTCCTGCTTCCAGAAATAGAAGGTGAGGATAGATCAGGAGTCCAGGGGATAGGATTAGTCAGAGGACAACGGAAGAGTGAGGCATACAGGCAGATGACCTCGAAGGGCCATGTGGGGGCCGGAATTTGAGTGTTTGCTCCTGATTTCCTTTTAGTTTGTTTTGAGACAAGGTCTTGCTCTATCACCCAGGCTGGAGTGCAGTGGTGCAATCCTGTCTCACTACAGCCTCAACCTCCCAGGCTCAAGTGATCCTCCCACCTCAGTCTCCAAAGTGGCTGGGACTACAGGCATGTGCCACCATGCTTGGCTAATTGTTAATTTTTTTGTAGAGATGAGGTCTCACTATGTTGGTCAGGCTGGTCTCAAACTCCTGGCTTCAAGTGATGCCTGCCTCAGCCTCCCAAAGTGCTGGGGTTACTGGCATGAGCCATCACTCTTGGCCCCAGATTTCTTAAATTCTTTTATTTTTTGAGATGGAATTTTGCTCTAGTTGCCCATGCTGGAGTGCAATGGCATGATCTTGGCTCACTGCAACCTCTGCCTCCTGGGTTTAAGCTATTCTCCTGCCTCAACCTCCCAAGTAGCTGGGATAACAGGTGCCCACCACCACACCCAGCTATTAAATTTTTTTTTTTTTTTTTTTTTTTTTTTTTCCTGAGACAGGGTCTTACTCTGTCACCTAGGCTGGAGTGTAATGGCATGATCTCAGCTCACTGCAACCTCCGCCTCCTGGGCTCAAGGCGTCCTCTGGCCTCAGCCTCCCGAGTAGTTGGAATCACAGGCATGTGCCACCATACCTGGCCAATTTTTATATTTTTGGTAGAGAAAGGGTCTCATCATGTTACCAAGGCTGGTCTCGAACTCCTGAGCTCAAGCAATCCTCCTGCCTCCCAAAGTGCTGGGACTGCAGGTGTTAACTCCTGCACCTGACCTTTAAAAAACAAAAAAAAATCTTTCACAAAATAAGAAAGAATCCAGGTGAGGTGACTTATGCCTGTAATCCCAGCACTTTGGGAGTGGGAGACTGAAGTGGGCAGATCACTTGAGGCCAAGTCAAGACCAGCCTGGCCAACATGGTGAAACCTCATCTCTACTAAAAATAAAACTAGCCGGGTGTGGTGGTGCACACCTGTAATCCCAGCTACTCAGGAGTGGCTGAGACACCAGAGAATCCCTTAAACCCAGGCGGCAGAGGTTGCAGTGAACTTGAGATGGTGCCATTGCACTCTGGCCTAGGTGACAGAGTGACACTCTGTCTTAAAAAAATAAATTATCTTAGGGCATCACCATGTTAGGAATTGAGTCGAACTGTTTAGAATAGAGGAGGCTAGGCCCGGGTGTGGTGGCTCATGCCTGTAATAATCCCAGCACTTTGGGAGGCTGAGGCAGGTGGATTACAAAGTCAGGAGTTCAAGACCAGCCTGGCCTGGCCAAGATGGTGAAACCTTGTCTCTACTAAAAATACAAAAAATTAGCCAGGCGTGGTTGGGGGCACCTGTAATCCCAGGTACTTGGGAGGCTGATGCGGAGAATTACATCAACCTCGGAGGCGAAGGTTGCAGTGAGCTGACATCGCACCACTGTACTCTAGCCTGGATGACAGGGTGAGACTCCATCTCAGAGAAAAAAAAAATAGAGGAGGCTAAGAGGCTAGACAAGGACATAGAAAAACATCATTCAGCCCAGGAGAGGCTAGATCCCATATTCCTAGTGTACTTCCCAAACATACTGAATTAGAATCTGAAGAGGGCCAGGCATGGTGGCTCACACCTGTAATCCCAGTTCTTGGGAGGTCGAGGTGGGCAGAGCACCTGAGGTCAGGAATTCGACACCAGCCTGGCCAACGTGGTAAATCCTACCTCTACTAAAAACACAAAAATTGGCCGGGCATGGTGATGGGCATCTGTAATCCCAGCTACTCAGGAGGCTGAGGCAGGAGAATCGCTTGAACCTGGGAGGAGGATGTTGCAGTGAGCTGAGATCCTGCCACTGCACTCCAACCTAGGCGACAGAGCAAAACTCCATCTCAAAAAAAAAGGGGGGAAAAAAATCTGAAGAGGGAAAGCTCCGGAAAAATGCCAAGTTTGTAGGTGGACATGGTGGCTCACACCTGTAATCCCAGCACTTTTTGAAGCTGAGGCAGGCAGATTGCTTGAGCCTGGGAGTTCAAGACCAGCCTGGACAACATGGCAAGCCCATCTCTTCAAAAAATTTAAAAAGTTTAAAAAGGCTGGGCATGGTGGCTCATGCCTGTAATCCCAGCACTTTGGGAGGCTGAGGCGGGCAGATCACCTGAGGATGGGCATTCGAGTCCAGCCTGGGCAACATGGCGAAACCCCATCTCTACTAAAAATACACAAATTAAGCTGGGTGTGGTGGTGCACAGCTGTAGTCCCCAGTTACACCAGAGGCTGAGGCAGGAGAATAGCTTTAACCCAGGAGATGCAGGTTACGGTGAGCTAAGATCACACCACTGCCCTCCAGCCTGGGCTACAGAATGAGACTTTCTGTCTCAAAAAAAAAAAAAGGTTAAAAAAAAAAAAAGCCAAATTTGTACTCGTAACAACTCAGAGGCTGCAGAAGCTACAGGGTAGCACCTAGTGTTCTTCATCTTTCCCATCTCCACTCAGGCTTGAGCTGGGGGCTCGCCCTGATCCGAGAACTGATTTCCCTCCCCGCTCACCACCAGCTTTTCCTTGTTTCCTCTATGGCCGCCTCCGGTTCCTTACATAGAGATAGTAGAATCTAGTGGCTAACAGTATGGACTTGGGTTAGACAGACGTTGGTTTAAATTCACTACTTAATCCCTGTATGACCTTAGAAAAGTGGCTGAAGCCCCTTGTGCCTTAGTTTTGTCATTTGTAGAACAGTGATAGGTGGTTGTGAGAATATGATAACCCCCTAAGCACTGTGCCTGACACAGTGAGCACTGATGAGTTGTAACTGTGACATTTTTACTGCTAGAGGAACCCAGCTGGTTTCCAGTGGGAGGGTGGAGGGACAAATGGGAATGTGTTCGTTGCTTTCTTTGATAAAGCTGTTGAGCCTCCCCGGCTTTTCTAGGAAGGCCTGGACTATAATGCTTTTGCTATAGTAAAAGGGGCCAGTGAAAGGCTAGGAGAAGGGTTTTGGATGTGCAGAGGTAAAAGGAAGCTGATGTGTAGGCAGCTGAGACCAACATTGCCAGATACCAGCACACCGATGCCCGATAACCAGCTGAGCGGCGTCCGTGGCCTCCTGCCAGGCTGGGAGCTGGCTCTCTCTGATTGGCTACTCCTTTGTATTTTAGGGCTTATTCCCAGAAAGAGATTTCAGAGTGCGCCATGGAGGATTTTCAGACAGGTCTATCTTTGATCTGAAGCACGTCCCACATACCAGGTATGGTCAGTTCTGTGATCCAGACAGTCCATACAGGATGGGACGGCTCAAATGCCTGGGGGTATTACACCTCCTCATCGCCACTCCCACTCCCTCAGCACACGGGCACATGTGAGCGCAGAAGTGCGTGCACACAGATTTAGAATACAAAGAAATGACTGATGTGGCTTTAGTCCCCCACAGCCCTTTGGTGGAAGTAACAGGTCTACCGGAGTTGCTCCAGGGAATAGATATGGGACAGAAGGATGCTATTGTTGCTCTTGGGTGGTAACTGCTCAACTGGGAGAGGCCAGGAGTCTCTGGGTCAGTTTGTGTGTTTGGCCCCATAATGGTGTCCTCTCCAGGTGACCATCAGGACACCTGGAAGCTTGGGCTCAGTCTCCCTAAAGTGGATTGAGCCTGCCCCTTATCTGTGAAGTAAGAGTGGTTGGCCTTGATGATCCTGCAGTCACATTTCCTGATATGGGAGGTGAAGTCCCAAGCTGAGTGGGCTGGAGAGGGGAAGGGGCCTGTGTGGATAAGCTCCCCATGGTCTGGACTGATTTTATGTCTATTCTGAATAGATTGCTGGTGACCAGTGGCCTTCCAGGTTGTTATCTACAGGTGTGGCAGGTTGCAGAGGACAATGGTGAGTGAATTTGACTTGATGGGGTTTGGGGTTCCAGGAAAGTGTGACTCATACACCCCTGTTCCCTAATCATGCTGGGTGCAGTCTCATGCCTATAATCCCAGCACTTTGGGAGGCTGCAGTGAGTAGATCACCTGAGTTCAGGAGTTCGAGGCCAGCCTGGCCAACATGGTAAAACCTGTCTCTACTAAAAATACAAAAAATTATCTGTGCTTGGTGGCGGGCGCCTGTAATCCCAGCTACTGGGGAGGCTGAGGCAGGAGAATCACTTGAACCCAGGCGGTAGAGGTTGCAGTGAGCAGAGATTGCACCACTACACTCCAGCCTGAGCAACAAGAGCAAAAAGAAGTAGGCTCAGAGCCAGGTCGGAATTAAAATGCAGTATCTACTTTAATGCAGACAGGGTGAATTAGCAACCACAGCATGGCATCCAAGCCCCAAATGGAGCTTCCTGTGTCCTGCTCCTGGAATTGGGTTCACCCATAGAACCATTCTCCCTAGGCAGGGGCAGGGGCAAGGCAGAGCTAAGGCCACTCAGGTGAGCTCACCTCCTTGGTCACCTCTTTGCAGGCATGCCAGTCCCCAGGAAGGAAAACAGTGAGTGAGCAAGAGGCTAGGCTGGCAAGTCCCCTACTCAGAGAATCACTCTGTTGCCAATGGGAGAGGAGAGAGTAGCAGACAGTGTTCACCCTGTCCCTTCCGGGAGTGGAGGGAAGTTCCCCCACGGGGAATAGTGTTTCCTCCAGCAGTGGGTCTGTGGGTCCCCTGTCAGGCAGACACCAGAACGTGCAGCCCTCTAGCTTAATCCAGCCCTTTCTGTCCCTCCTTCAGTTAGGGCTTCCTTGGCCAGCATAGAATTGAGTCTCAGAGGCACAGGCAGCTGCTCTTGGAGCTGCCCTTTTGGTTATGTGACCCTCTGTCCCCAGTCCCCATGCTGCCTGCCCAGCAGCTGTTGGCTTCCCCTCACTACCACAGAGGGGCAGTTCTTGTGCTCATTTGTTCTCTGTGGTCACTGTGGGCTTTCCTGGTTGTTTTCCTTGTCACTTGTCCTGTGCTGTAGTTGTGGGGTTTTTTTTCCATAATTTTATTGAGGTATGTTTTACATATCACATAATTCACCCATTTCCAAAAAAAAAAGCATACAATTCAGTGACCTTTTTAGTAAATTTAACAAGTTGTGCCGGCATCACTACAGATCAGTTTTCCAACCTTTTCCTCACCCCGGTGAGATCCATTGTGCCATTTACTGTTCATCCCATTCCCACACCCTGCCCCAGGCCACCGCTAATCTGCTTCCTGTCTCTGGAGCAGATTTGCCATCTCCGGACATGTCGTGTCACTGGCATCATACATACATGTCTTTGTGTCTGGCTCTTTGAACTTAGCGTAGCACTTCTGTAGTCTGTTCATGTCATAGCGTGAGGTTGCAGTTTGTTCCTGTTTATGACTGGATAGTATTCCATTGTGTGTGTGTGAAAGCACCACATTTTGTCCGTCCATTCACTAGTTGGTGGATCCAGTTTTTGGCTATTAAAAATAATGCTGGTAAGAACATTAATGCAGAAGTCTTTGTGTGGACAAATGGTTTCATTTATTTTGGCTAGACAGCCAGAAATGGAATTGCTGGGTGTTTTGTTTATTTATTTATTTATTTAGAGATGGAGTTTCACTCTTGTTGCCCAGGGTAGAGTGCAATGGCACGATCTCAGCTCACTGTAACCTCCATCTCCCAAGTTCAGGTGATTCTCCCGCCTCAGCCTCCCAAGTAGCTGGGGTTACAATCCCCCCCCATCATGCTTTGTTTTTTTTTTTTTTTTTTTTTTTTTTTTGTAAAGACAGGGTTTTACACCATGTTAGCCAGGCTGGTCTTGAACTCCTGACCTCAGATGATCCACCTGCCTCAGCCTCCCAAAATGCTGGGATTACAGGCTTGAGTCACTGCGCCCAGCATTGCTGAGTCTTAACGTAAATTTAGGTTTTAATTTTGGGGGACACTTTTATACTTTTCCAAAATGGATTTTTTTAAACTTCATTTTATTTAATTTATTTTACTTTATGATGGAGTCTCACTGAGTACAGTGGCTAAATCTTGGCTCACTACAATCTCTGCCTCCCAGCTTCAAGTGATACTCCTGCCTTAGCCTCCCAGGTAGCTGGGATTAACAAGCACACACCACCACACTCAGCTAATTTTTGTATTTTTAGTAGCAATGGGGTTTCACCTTGTTGGCCAGGATGGTCTTGATCTCCTGACCTTGTGATCTGCCTGCCTCAGCCTCCGAAAGTGTTGGGATTTCAGGCAGAGCCACTGCGCTCAGCAAAAAGTTGTTTATGTTCCCACCAGCAGGGTATAAGGGTTCCCATTTTTCCATGTCCTCACCAACATTTATTATCTGTCTTTTTGAAATAAAGCCATTTTAATAGATGTGTAATTATATATTATTGAGGCTTTCATTTGCATTTCCCTAATGATTTAGAATGTTGAGGCCAGCATGGTGGCACACGACTGTAATCCCAGCGCTTCGGGAGGCTGAAGTGGGCAGATCACCTGAGGTCAGAAGTTTGAGACCATCCTGGCCAATATGGTGAAACCATGTCTCTACCAAAAATACAAAAATTAGCTGGGCATGGTGGTACACACCTGTAGTCTCAGCTACTCAGGAGGCTGAGGCAGGGGAATCGCTTGAACCTGGGAGGCAGAAGTTGTAGCGAGCCAAGAACATGACACTGCACTCCAGCCTGGCAACAACGAGACTCCGTCTCAAAAAAAAAAAAGGCCATGTAAAGTGGCTCACGCCTGTAATCCCAACACTTTGGGAGGCTGAGGCAGGTGGGCCGTCTGAAATCAGGCGTTTAAGCCCAGTCTGGGCAACATAGTGAAACCCAACTCCACTAAAAATGCCAAAAAAATTATCTGGGCATCAGGATGCACATCTGTAATTCCAGCTACTTGAGAGGCAGAGGCTACAGTGAGCCAAGATTGTGTCACTGCACTCCAGCCTGGGCGACAGAGCAAGACTCTGTCTCAAACAAAAGAACTAAAACTTGACTCAAAGCCAAGGATGTTGTTCCATTCAGTGTCAAAAAGATGTGGACTTTCTTGCCCAACTTACATTTGAAGACAGTGGCATCTGTGATGTGACCTGTACTTGCTAGGCTTCAGCAAGTCACTTGAGGTTATGGAACACATTTTTGAAGAAATAATACCAGTTCATGAATTCCGTACCTGTTACTTGTCACTGAAGGTGTAAATGATATCAGCAGCATGTTCTTTCCTTTTCTTTGCTTCTACCTGTTCACCGCAGAACTATAAAAAGCCAGAACTGTTTTTTGGGTTTTGAGATGGCATTAGCTTCCATTTGCAAAAAACAGTTTATAAGACAAATAATAAAGAAATTGAAATGTTTCTTATGGTTTCAAAAATGTAAACATAAGCCAGAGTGGTTACGTGTCAACATCACCTCTTGCCAACTGGCGGCTCCTCTTCTTCCTTGACCTTCTAAATGTATAGCGGAAGACAGCTGGCTGGCCTGTCGTGTTTCAAACCTTCATTAAAGTTGTTGATTTTGGCCTCTTTTCCTTTTCTCCCAGATGTCATTAAAGCTGTCAACACCATTGCTGTGCGTGAGAAAGAAGAGAGTCTCTGGCCTAGGGTGGCTGTCTTCTCCTCCATGGCACCTGGAGTCCTCCACGGGGCGAGGCTCCGCAGTCTACAGGTCACGGATCTGGAGTCTGAGAAAACCACGTACACCACAGGTACTACAGTATTTCACCCCGTGCTGGCTGCTGCAGCCGGCATTGCCCCTCAGCCCAACTCAGCCACTGTGGAAACTGAGTTCAACCCTCTGTGCCAGGTGTTGGGGAAGCACGGTGAATAAGAGGTGAGCCCTGGCCTCAAAGGGCTCCCATGCTGGGGCAGGATTAGGCAGTCCCAGGGACCAGCACCCAACCAGCTGAGCAGACAATGGTGAGATGAGTGGGAAGGGAGATGTGATTTGTTTTGCCTGGGACTGGTGGGAAGGGACTTGCGACCAGCCAGCCCTGCCAAATCACCAGACCCATCTGCCTCTAGCCACTTGCCTCCTTTGCTCTTGGTCTTCTAGATGTCAGTGACAGTGAGGAGCTGAGTAGCCTGCAGGTCCTAGATGCAGGCACCTTTGCCTTCTGCTGTGCTTCGGGCCGGCTAGGGCTTGTTGACACCCGCCGGAAGTGGGCACCGTTGGAGAATCGCAGCACTGGGCCTGGTTCTGGAGAGAGATGGTGTGCCGAAGTTGGGAACAAGGACCAGGGCCCTGGGCCCAGCATTGCCAGCCTTGGCTCGGATGGGCGGCTCTGTCTACTTGACCCCCGGAATCTCTGCCATCCTGTGAGCTCAGTCCAGTGCCCGGTATCCATACCCAGCCCTGACCCAGAGCTGCTGCGAGTGACTTGGGCCCCAGGACTTAAGAACTGCTTGGCCATCTCAGGTACTGCTGAGCAGGATTTCGTGTCTATTATCTGATCTCTTTCTTCCAGGGGACTGTAAGGTGCTCAGGAAGGAGCCTGCAGCACCATGATAAACCTGGCTCCAGAAGTCAAAGTTGCTCACAGAGAAACTGTAAATTAACTCTCCAGGTTCTTCAGTGGCAGGCCTTTCTCCACCCTGCCTACTAACTTCTACACACTGGCAGCAGGCCTTTCCTAGCCTAGCAAGAATTCAGGTCTCAGGAGGGGCCTGCAGCTAATAAGACACTGGGACAGCCATGGGCTATGTCAGAAGGAACAGGACCTCAAGAGTGCTTCTCAGTCTACCTGCCTTTTGAAATGTGGCAAGCCAGCTAGGTCAGCAGACTCCTGGGTCTAGTCTGGTGGCATGTAGTTGCTTGGGGGTACTTAATGTGGGTATCTAAAAGCCAACAGGAAGGATCCGTCGTGGTGGGTGGGGGTTAAAAAAAAGTCAAGAGGGCCGAAACGGGGGCTCACGCCTGTAATCCCACCACTTTGGGAGGCTGAGGCAGGTGGATCACGAGGTCAAGAGATCGAGACCATCCTGGTCAACATGGTGAAACCCCGTCTCTACTAAAAATACAAAAAATCAGCTGGGCATGGTGGCGCATGCCTGTAATCCCAGCTACTCAGGAGGCTGAGGCAGGAGAATTGCTTGAACCCAGGAGGCGGAGGTTGCAGTGAGCTGAGATCGCGCCATTGCACTCCAGCCTGGGCAACAAGAGTGAAACTCCGTCTCAAAAAAAAAAAAAAAAAAAAAAAAGTCAAGAGAATAAGAAAGGATGATTGGAAATGCCAGGATCCAGAAAGAACAGAAGAGCCAAGCTCAGGTAGAGGAGTGGGCTCTTCAGTAACAGGAAGATGGCAGGATGGGATGAGGGTGTGTGCAGCTAGGTCATGCAGGGACATGAGACTATTCCTCTCCAAAGGCATCTGTTACCCTATCAAGTCGGAGACAAGGCCATCTGCTGAGAGGGACCCAGAGGTAGAAAAGACTGCAATCTGGGGCAACTTGAAAAGGTTTGAAGAAGTCTCTTAAGCCTCAGTTTCTTGGGGAAAATAAGAGTATCTATGTCATACAGTTCTGAGGATTAAAAGAGGTAATACTTGTCCAGAATTAGCCTTTGAGCCTCACGAGTAACAGGTATACAACAGATGCTCATAGTTACATGCCACAGGGAGTCATCAGCTGCCAGCACTGAGGGCAGGTGCCACTTGCCTGTGGTTAGCCTTTACGTGCCTTGATTCCTCAACCAATAGCCTGTTTGGTACCATCAAATACATTATAACAAGTATTTTAGGGGCTGGGTGCAGTGGCTGACACCTGTAATCCCAGCACTTTGGGAGGCTGAGGTGGGAGGATCACTTGAGGCCAGGAGTTGAGCCCAGTCCAGACATGGCAAAACCCCATTTGGATTAAGAAAGAAAGAAAAAAATATTTTAAAATAAAAGTATTTTAGGGATTCATGGTCAAACCTCTCTTTTCTGTATTCTCAGGTTTTGATGGCACAGTCCAGGTCTATGACACCACATCTTGGGATGGAACAGGGAGCCAAGTAGAACCTCTCTTTACTCACAGAGGTCACATCTTCCTAGAAAGAGGCAGGATGGACCCTGCTCCTCTGGTCACCACCCACACCTGGCACCCGTGCAGACCAAGGACTTTGTTATCAGCAACAAATGATGCTTCTCTGCATGTCTGGGACTGGGTGGACCTTCGTACCTCTTGCTGACACCAGCATCTTTCCATCCAGGCCTCTAGAAAGGGGAGGAGCTGCTGTAGTAGCACCACTACTGATGGAGGACTCAAGTGACCGCCAGTCCCTGTTACCAGCTGTGTGGCCTTGGGCAAGTCAACCAGCATCGTTTAGCCTCAGTTTTCTTAGCTGCAAAATGAGGACAGTAAGAACCACCTTGCAGTGTTATTGTGAAGGTTGGAAGAAAGGCATGGCATAATAAATTCTTATTTGGTAGCTACTGTTAGTTCTGGGAGTATAAAATGGCAGTGTTTGTCCCTGTCTTCTTCACAGTATCATAGGGAGAATCAGAAGAGCTAACAAATATAAACATTCTTTGTGAACTTTTTTACAGAAGAAAAAATGTATAGGGGTCAATAAACAATAAAAAATCCCAGCCCTAGTAGCAATTAAGGAAATAGCAATTAAAACAAGATTTCTGCTCCTCTTGAGTGGTTCTCATGGGGACACAGGTGTACTTTCCCACACCTGCCCCCCTCCCAGGTGATTAATTCAAGGGACATTTGCTTTTGGTGGCCCCACAAACATTTCCTATTAAGGGCCCATAGTGAATATTAAAGTGTGCCGGAGATGGTGGCTCATGCCTGTAATCCCAGCACTTTTTGGGAGGCTGAGGTAGGCAGATTGCTTGAACTCAGGAGTTGGAGACCAGCCTGGACAACACAGCAAGATCCCATCTCATTAAAAAAAATTTGGCTGGGCATGGTAGCTCATACCTGTAATCCCAGTGATGTAGGCAGCCAAGACAGGTGAATGACTTGAGTCCAGGATTTCGAGATCAGCCTGGGCAACATGACGAAACCCTATCTATAATGAAAATACAAAAATTAGCTGGATGTGGTGGAGTAGCCTGTAGTCCCAGCTACTCAGGAGACTGAGGGGAGGCTGCCTGAGCCTGGCAGGTGGAGTTTGAGTGAGCTGTGATCATGCCACTGTACTCCAGCCTGGGCAGCAGAGTGAGACCCTGTCACATACACACACACAAACACACAAAATAGATGATCAGATTAAACATGTATTAAGCCCATGTGCAACACAAGCTACATGCTAGAAATACATAAATGAGAGGCTTCATAAGGTGGTTGACGATAATTCTTAAAGAATGTCATGAATCATGGCAACAACATACAAAGTCCACAGCCCATCAGTGACTTTTAACAGATACTTGGGTAAGTTAAAAAAATAATCACAGGCCGGGCGCGGTGGCTCAAGCCTGTAATCCCAGCACTGTGGGAGGCCGAGGCGGGTGGATCACGAGGTCAAGAGATCGAGACCATCCTGGTCAACATGGTGAAACCCCGTCTCTACTAAAAATACAAAAAATTAGCTGGGCATGGTGGCACGTGCCTGTAATCCCAGCTACTCAGGAGGCTGAGGCAGGAGAATTGCCTGAACCCAGGAGGCGGAGGTTGCGGTGAGCCGAGATTGCGCCACTGCACTCCAGCCTGGGTAACAAGAGCGAAACTCCATCTCAAAAAAAAATAATAATAATCACAACGGCCGGGCGTGGTGGCTCACGCCTGTAATCCAAGCACTTTGGAGGCCAAGGCGGGCACATGACCTGAGGTCGGGAGTTCAAGACCAGCCTGACCAACATGGTGAAACCCCGTCTTTAAAAAAACAACATGACTTAATCATATTTCATGAATCTAATTAGTACACTGATATGTAGATTGTGCTTTGTTTTGTAATTTAGAAAGTTGTGGGAAAATATTTTAAGTCGAACACACAAAAGGAACCATTTTCAGAGGTAGAAACTGTGTTTCATTTATTCCTAAATCCCATTTGTTCTGTACATGTGTCCTTCCAGGGTTTCTATTCTGCTGTTACAGAGAGGGAACCCACTGGCCAACACAGAGCCTCTCCCCGAGGATCTGGAGACCCCAGCCCTGAGGATATCTGAGCATAGACAGGAACTAGTGGCCTTGTTAGAGGAAGGTGATACAGAGGTAAGGTCTCCAACTAGGAGACACTTTTTTCTAAAGCAGAGTCTCATTGTCACCAGGCTGGAGTGCAGTGGTGGGATCATGGCTCACTGCAACCTCCCCTCCCAGGTTCAAGCCATTTCTCCTGCCTCAGCCTCATGAGTAGCTGGGATTATAGGCACACGCCACCATGCCCAGCTAATTTTTGTATTTTTAGTAGAGACGGGGTTTCACCTTGTTGGTCAGGACAGTCTAGCTGCCATGATCCACCTGCCATGGCCTCCCAAAGTGCTAGGATTACAGGCATGAGCCACTGCACCCAGCCTAGGAGACGTCTTAATGTCATGGTTCTTAGTTATTGCTCTGGACATATACACATGCAGAAAAGGCTTTATGTACTTCATTATCTGGGCTCACAGAGCCTAGACCGAGTCTCACGTTTTTAGGATACAGTCTGAGCTGTAAGGTTGTACTGCAAGCCCTGTTTGGCATTTAGAGCAATTCTGCTACAGAAATTCTGTTTAGGTTGAATTGTAAAATTGCTGGTTTTGTAGACCAAAAACAGCAATCTTGTATGATTCAACCCAATAAGTTGAGGAGTAAGTTATGGTTAAAAAGCCAACCTTGGCCGGGCGCGGTGGCTCAAGCCTGTAATCCCAGCACTTTGGGAGGCCGAGGCGGGTGGATCACAAGGTCAAGAGATCGAGACCATCCTGGTCAACATGGTGAAACCCCGTCTCTACTAAAAATACAAAAAAAAAAAAATTAGCTGGGCATGGTGGCGCGTGCCTGTAATCCCAGCGACTCAGGAGGCTGAGGCAGGAGAATTGCCTGAACCCAGGAGGCGGAGGTTGCGGTGAGCTGAGATCGCGTCATTGCACTCCAGCCTGGG